CATTCTTTCTTCCTTTTTCTTTTCTTTTCTCTTCCTTTCTCTTTCTTTCTAATCCTTTTCTTTTTATGAACCCCTTTTTTTCTTGAAAACCATTAATAACTGAAAATAGAATACATCACAAATACTACGTTTGCACGGCATCCTTATTCGGGTTTGATAACATTCGTAATTATGATTGGCCAGTTTCATAAGGTTTGTTTGCGTCGCATATTTCAGCATGCTCCAATGTGCTCTTGCTATAGCTTCTACTCACTTCAACGAGCGCGTTAGAGTGAGTAAACGCTATGGTAGAAGCATTTTAGAGCATGTTAGAGCATACGATGGGAACAAACCTCTAATTACAGATGTTATTAAACCCGATTAAAGATGCCATCTAAACATAGTCAAAGATATTAACGTAAATATTAATATTTTGCTCCATGTATCTATACTTCTTCTATACCTTTTTTCCTTTCTTTTTCTTTCCGTTTCATTTTTCTTTTTTCTTCCCCTTCCTTTCTTTTCTATGTCCTTTACTTTTCATGAAAATCACTAATAACTGAAAATAAAATACAACACAAAGATACTAGTATTAATACTAATATTTATTCCGTATAACGTTAAGCTTCCTTTCATATTACTTTTCCTTCATTTTTTTCCTCTTTTTCCTTTTTCTTTTTTTTTATTTTACTTTTCTTTTCCTTTCTTTCCGTTTTATAAACCTTCCCTTTTCATGAAAATTACTAATAATTAAAAATATACAACACAAAGATACTAATACAAACACTGGAGGTTGTTCCTCTTATTTTCATTTTTACATTAAAGTTCATTTTTTAAATGAAAATAAGAGGCAAACAAGATCAGAAAATTATTGAATTTATTAATGAATATCCCTTTGAAGCAACTGTTAGTATTTTACGTAACAGAGATTTTAATATCTCTGCAAGAACGATCTGACATCGTTTAAATGTTACGAACGTCTATTCACGTCTTGTATCAATCTATAGTGTATTTCTGTAAGCGAAATAAAAAACAAAATTATTAATGATGATCTTACCAAATTATTTACTTTTAATTATTCTTTACTTTATTTAATATAGATATACTACTTACTAATATGGTATCCAATATCCATCATTATTTATAACTAATTGCAGCCGTCTTGTCATTGAATTTATAAGATTTTCTGTATAATTTGATCGCAAAAATAATTGATTCCAAACTTGATGCACATGATTCCTTAGTGCTTCTCTAGTTCTTAACTGACCAGATATCCACGATGACTACATATGAGCCCATACATTTTCTATCGGGTTTAAATCTGGAGACTTTGCTGGCCATGGAATTCGTTGAATATCCGGATTAACATCAAACCATGTTTGCACTAATCTGGAAGTATGAACGGCACTATTATCTTGACTACTTTTACAACTGGGTACTGTTCTTCTGGATAAACACGTCTGATGCCAGGTTTTAATATTTCTTCCAAGATTTCTACGTATTCTTCAGCATCCATTCTTGGTGTTATTTCAGTAAGATCCAACAGTCCACTAGATGTCAAGCTACCCCAAAATCCTATCGTAATCCTTCCTCTATATCTTGATGGAAGAACGTATTTTGGATTTAAACGTTCTCCTTTAGGCCGCCAGACAAGATATCATCCATCTTCTGCTGATGAAAAAACTTTTTCATCCATCCAAACAATATTATTCCATTCTTCTTGAGGTGTGTCCAAATATTCTTTTGCAAATTGTAATCGTCGATTTCGATGGTGTGGTTTCAATTCAATTTTTTTCGCTGACGGACGTGACAGAATATTCGCAGCATGTAAACGACGCCTAACCGTTCTTTCAGAGATATTAAAATTTCTGTTGTGTAAAACAGTAGCACCTGCTTTAAAGGGTTATTCATCGATAGATTTAATAATTTCTTGATCTTGTTCCAATGTTGTCTTCTTTGGACGGCTAATATTTTTCCGGTGATCTTTTAAATTTTGTATTCCACCTTCTTCAGACTTCCTTATCCATAAAGAAACTGTGCGTCTATTGTATCCGCGCGGTTATTTCTATAATTTCTGTTTTTCTATATCCTGCTTCATATAATCCAATTATCCTGTCTCTATCTTCTGATTTTAAATTCGCATATATATTTCTTTCCATTTCTGTGTGTTCACATTATCTTGATTAACATAATTTATACATATAACGATTTATAAATAATAACAAAAGACATAATGCCATAGGCGTATCTTGGATTTATTTATTCTTACGCCCGCCTCTTAAAATTGTTCAATATCTCAAAAAATATTTTTTTTTCAGATTTTTTAAACAATTTTAACCAGTGCCATCGAGACAATTAAAAAAATTTTTAATTGGTTAAGAATTAGAGCATCGGCCGAATTTTGTTCACAAAGGTGTTCATAGAGGTATTTTTGTATTAAATAATAAATAATAAATAATAAATTGATTATTAAATGTTAATGTTAAAAAAATTATACTTGTGTAGAATCTTGTATTTGATATGTATTCTTTAATGTAATTGAGGGCGAATAAAGTTTTACTACACTTAATGAGAATGTGGCCAATTAGTCTAAAGATATAAGTTCTCCTTTATTATTGGATACAAATCGTAGATGACGGCGCGAACACGTCCGAGTGATACGACGGCTACGTTTCGAACTGTCTCTAACAACTCGTTGCTAGGGACTCGTAGTCAAGGCAAATTAACATAGCTGTATTACCGCAACGTGAATCTAATCACTTTTACGGTTTACAGTTCGGCCAATCCTGAGCTAGTGTGCGACTCGAACACGTATTTTATATTTTTTAAAAAAGAAAAGATACACAAAGTGTTAATTATAGTGAATACAATCAAAGTGAGTGATACATTAAATAGATTCGTAGAAAATACCATGAATAACGTAAGTACAATGTTTTGGTATTATGATATTCACACACACATAATGGTTAATATGTATAAATAACCATTCTTACATTAAATATACACTAAAATTAACTGAACACAGTAAAGATATTAATCTAGCATCTTTTGAAAGATAAAATATACATTCATGATAAAAAGGTAATAATAAGAAATAGCATATTAAACTTTTTTTTGAACATCATGGTTATGATTAGGTAAGGCTTTAATCCATAATTTTAAGCGATCAGGGGAGAGAATCGAATTGTAAGGTCTTGAAGTTAAGCTGGAACCAGGAATGTCCTGCACCACGTATCTATTTTTGTCCAAAACTTTAGTTACCCTGAAGGGACCTTTAAATTCAGGTTTTAATTTCTTACACTCTCCGGCTTTTATCGAAACATCCCTAATCATAACCAGATCACCTGGTTTATATGACAAGGGCTTTCGATGATGCTTGTCATAATATAATTTATTATAAGATTTGATCTTTTCCGCGACATTCAGGGCTAACTCTCTATCTTTTTCTCTTTCTAAAGTAAAATTTATTTCAACGCCAGCAATCTCATTCAAGAATTTTACTAAATCAGCATCAGTATTGTTACGTTGATCATAACCTAAAAGTAATTTTGAGGGAGAAGATTTTAACGCCGAATGTCGAGTATTATTAAATACATATTGAACAATTTCAAGGCATATTTCCCAATCATGATTTTCATCGATAAGTTTTTTTAAAGAGGATTTTAAAAAACGATTCGCTCTTTCTGCCAAACCATTGGCCCAAGGAGCAGCAACAGCAATTAGCCTATGCTTAATATTTCTAGAAGACAGAAATTCAGAAAATTCATGAGAGGTAAATGCTGTACCTCTATCAGATACAATTCTTTCTGGGTAACCAAGAATATGAAATAAAGATGCGAGATGCTTGATAACTTCCTTTGACGTAGTAGACTTTGTAGGAAAAAGCCAAACGTAACGAGTAAAAGCGTCAATAATTACCAAAATATGTTTTGAACCATTGCAGGATTCACACAGAGGGCCAAAATGATCCATGTGTAAAATTCGAAAAGGCTCAGAAGGAGTATCAGTTATTTGCATCTCACCTTCACTGGACTTAAAACCAGCATTGGAAGTTAAGCAAGTCACACATTTACTTATATGGTCATGGACCCGTTTATGAAGAAAGGGAAACCAGTAATGAACACTGAGTCCCTGGACTGCTTTCTCGAAACCACAATGAGCAAGATCGTCATGGTAAATTCTTATTACGTTATCAATCATTGATTCTGGAACAGCAAATCGAGGCAAGTTAGAGTCTTTACGATAAACAAGTCCTTGTATTAATTGAAATTTCGGATTATCAGAAAATTCTAACTGCTCAGCAATCTCCTTAAGCCTCGGATCCTGTAATTGCTTTATCTCTAATTCTCTCTCGAGGGGCAAAGCTTCAACAAGAGCCGAAACTTCAGAGATTCTGCTGAGAGCGTCGACATGTGCCATTTTATGTCCAGAACGATGCAATATTTTAAATCTATAATTCTGCAATCTTAAGGTCCATCTAGCGAATCTAGGATTGAGATGTGCCTTATTTACAGCATACACTAATGCATGGCAATCCGTGACAATAGTGAATTCTAAACCATACAGGAATATATGGAAACGCTCAACTGCCTTAACCACAGCCAGCATTTCTAACTCAAAGCTGTGATATCTAGCCTCAGCTGAATTCGTGGCTTGACTGTAGTACGCAATGGGAGCTAATTTTCCAGATTCCTGTTTTTGGAAAAGAATAGCAGCTAAAGCCAAGGAACTTGCATCCGTATGTAATTCAGTCTCTGCATAGGGATCATATAAACGAAGAACCGGGTAAGAAATTAATTCTTGTTTTAGGATTTGAAAAGCCTTCAAGCAATCATCATTGAAATTGAAAGAGACTGACTTTCGTAAAAGATTAAGCAAAGGGCGAGCTTTAATAGCGAAATCCTTTATGAATCTACGAAAGAAATTTGCAAGACCAAGAAAACGTTGAAGTTGAACAACATTCTTAGGTATCGGAAAGTCTCTAACAGCCTTAACATGACGATCACTTAAGGTAATTCCTGACGGAGATAGAATATATCCAAGATATTCAATTTTCTCTTTTAAAAAATGACATTTTTTATAATTAAGTTTAAATCCGTATTGTTTTAAAATCAAAAGTACCTCTTTCAATGAAGACAAGTTTTCCTCAACTGTACAAGATGGCACCAAGATATCATCAATGTAAACTAAAACTTTATCCTCGCGCAAAAGAGGTTGAAAGATTTGGATCATTCTCTTTTGGAACTCAGCTGGAGCCTCACAGTAACCAAAAGGTAATTTCATGTACTCAAACTGACCATCAGGAGTCGCGAAAGCAAAATATTTAGAATGATCTGGATGAACATCTATTTGATGAAAACCATCTTTTAAGTCAAGCAAAGTAAAAACTTTCTTATTGCCCAGTCGAGAAAAACATTCTTCCATCAATGGAAAGGGGTATTTTTGTTTTATGACACGATCATTCAACGGTCGTAAATCAATGCACAATCGCATTGTACCGTTTTTCTTAATTACAGGAACCACCCTTGCACAATAAGGGGAAATGCTCGGTTTAATAATTCCTCTGTGCAAGAGATCATCAGTAATCTCTCGAATCTGTTTCCTTTCAGACCATGCGAAGCGTCGAGGAGAATAAGCATAAGTTGTATTGTCTTTGAGAGACACTGTGACGGCATGACCATCTTCAATTGGAATGACAGAAGTATTCTCAACTTCACGAATTAAAGTTACAAGTTTTTCATCAACCGTTGGTCCGAAATCAGATTCGAAAGTAAACTCATCAGAAAAACCAGGTAAAACAGACTGACTATAATCATCCAAAGATGCAATTTCAGAAAATAATTGGATCTTTGAATTTTCGTTACCAAAAGTTTCGCAAACAATTACAATTTTGTACATTTGCAAAAAATCACGACCAAGAATAAGGTCAACAAAAAGCTCATCGTCCTCTAGAACAAGAAAAGGAACTTTGAAAGATTTATTCGGAAAAATCGCGAGCTGAAATTCCAAAGTAAATTCTCCGAAAACTTTAATAATTGATTTATTTAAAGCTTTAAAAGAACGAGATGGAACTTTTAATTGATCCAGAGGTTGATTAGTCAAATTAGAAAAGATAGATGGTCGAATAAAAGATACAGCGCTGCCCGTATCAATAAGAGCGTCTAATGAGCAATTTGTTTCATTTAAAGCAGTCACCTTAACAATATTGTCGCTAATTTTATACGGCGATCCGATGTCGACAAAAGCTACCGTCGGTGAATGGGAAGGCTGGGAAGACTGGATGGTCTGGAGAGACTGGAAGGACTGGGAGGTCTCAGAAGATTGTGACGAAGACGTCTCTTCAAT